GATTTGGCTGTTTGTAAAAGTTCAGAGTTTGCTTCCTCCTGCTCTTCTTTGGGTCTGTGGGACCTGGGTTGTTCCTGGTTTGCTAAACCTGGCTCCGTTCTTCTCCACATCCCCATTTCTGCAGCCTCCCGCTCACGTGTCCCCTTGTCTGGAGGGTGCAGGTGTTACCATGGCTGTGCCCTCCTCAGAACAACCTGCACCTTGGGCAGACAGGGGAGTTGGCTGGTCAGCTGCTGTGCACCTGTTTGCAAATGCTGGAGGTGGGTGCTCCTCCCAGGACCAAATGGAACGCCCCACCTCTGCGGTGCTGGCACACAGGGAAAAGCGGAGCACCAGAGCTTCCCCCTCCCTCCATGTCTGTATCGCCCCAGCAGCATCTAATGCCTCACTGGCCTGCCAGCCCCCTGGTCTGTACCTGCTCCTGTTTCACTGGGAGATGCCTTTTCTCTGTTTTATTCTGCAAAGGAAGAGAAAGGAAAGGCAGAAGAAGGAGGCATAAAGCTCTACGTGCTCTGGGATGTTGTATCTGTACTGCTGAAGTCTGTTATTTTCTCCCCTTCATCCTACAAATGTCCATGTTTCAGCCACACTGACAAAACGACACTTGTAGCCTCTTGGTTTTCACAGCCCTGTGCCTCTGGGGCTTGATAAAATATCCTTCAAACCCTGGCTTGCATAGTCTGGTGACATCCAGAGGCACATAGTGCTTTTCCTGGCTTTAGGGCTGGAGAAAAACAGGCAGAGAAAGGAGAGAGGGCTGCGGGGACAGGGGCACAGAGGATGAACCCTGCTCCACAGGCAGATCCTGTTGAAAGTGTCTGAGTCCTGGGTGCCTCTGCTGTCTCAGGAAATGCTCCCTGCCCAGAAGAATTCTGAGATTCAGGTTTCCCCCTGAGATTCCTTCTTTTCACCCACTTTTAATGAGCTTTCATTTCTGAAGAGCTTGAATGCACCTTGCCTTGAATGTCAGCGATGGAGGCTGAATGATTTTCTTGAAGACCCCTCTTGTGTATAATCCTTGATAAATTTGGGATGTGCAGGAATTGGGAATTCAAGAAGGATGTGTAAACCCTGCCAGTAACCTCCCTGGCCCAAGGGCAGCTGCTGTCCCTCAGGGGACCATGTTTCCCAGCAGTACCAGGTTACCTGCAGGCATGGGCTGTGCAGAACCCCTCCTGCCCATCGGGCTGAGGGGTACCTGCAGCCCCAGCTGCTGAGGGTGCAGTGGAGCTGCTGTTCCTCTGAAGATCACTCAAATCCTGCCAGAAAGGGCAGAGCAAGGATTACCTGAGCCAGCAATGTGCATCCTTTTAGCAGGAGGGGCTGGAATGTGGCTATATGCCTTGACCTGAGGCTAAGGTGTCGAAGTGCACATTTCCCATGCAACCAGCACATGGTGCAGGGAGGACTGAGCTAGCCGGGTGCTGGGCTGGCTGGTCCATACAGCACGGGATAGCTGACTGTTCATTCAGCCATGCCACTTTACCTGGGCTTGTTGATTCATTAGCAGCACCAGGCGATGTGGACCTGAAAACCTGCATTCCCTTCCCTGCTCTTTGCGCAGCAGGAGCAGCTTGGGCACAGCCAGCTCACGTCTGTGGTGGACAAATCCCACGTGTTGATACTGGGGTGCAAGGCTTCCCCATCACTTCCATCTCCCTCCTCTTTCGCAAGGGCATGGCTCAGCTCATTGTTGTCAGCTCTATAAACCCCGGGGCTTTCCAGTGCAGAGGTCCTGTGCACATTTGCCAGCACAGAGACGACCAGACAGATTCCTCCCCAGCCTGCCAGAACTGAGACAAATGCTAATGAGATGTGATAGCTGTAGCTGGGCCAGGCTCAGCTCTACAGCACAAACCTAAAAGTGTATCATGTTGTTGGTGCTCTCCTGCATCTCTATTCCCAGTTCACAAAGCAATTTTGATGCACAAGATTGCTCCCTCAAGAGACACATTGCCAAGGCAAACTACGTGGGTGGGTGGTGTGCAGGAGACACTTCTCCTCAAGGTTTTGCAGTGGGTCACTAGCAGAGGTAGAAAGCCAAACCCATTTTTGTGACCATTAGCCTGCAGTGCAGTTTCTGATGTCTCCCCCCACACCAGTCCCAGGGCTCAGTTGACAATGCCAAGTTCACCCTGAGATGCCACCACAGAGGTGAGCACAAAGCACGTGGGCAGTCTTAGCTCTGCCTGCTGTGGAGAGGTTAATTGCATGATCTCATTAGATGGGAAGAGATTTGGCTGCATGAATATAGATGAAGCTTCTTGTACTGCTAGCTGAGAGCTGAGGCTGACTTCCCTGTTCACCTGGCGAGAGGATTTTTGAAGGTCAGTTCACATCAAAGCCTACATGAATCGACCTCGTAAAAAGCAGAGAGCTTTTTGATCTCCAGGAAAACTCTGCTTTCCATTAAGCACGAATGAGGGGTCTGAGCCTGCTGGCAGTTCTCATTGAAGCCAACCGTAAGTCAGTGGGATTCGGAAGAGAGCCCATAGAAGCCCATACCTGGGTCTGTCCTCGCTGCGTTATTAGGGAAGACCTTGTTTTGGTGAGCTTGCCAACAGAAAGCTCACTCCAACCGATTTGCTAGAGAAGGCAAAGCGGGTGACTCCTCCCACGATCCCACCTGCTCGTCCTTTGGAAACCAGGCCCTAGGAGAGGTGGTACATACCCAAGTCCCTCCCAGCACAGGGTCCTGCACCTGGGTGCCAAGAGAGACACCCAGCCAAGGACTCAGTGGGGGGTTTTGTGTGTCCTAGTCAGTGCAGGAAAGAGACAGAAGGACCAGGAAAATGGTTGCGATTCCCATCAGGAGAGTCAAAGACTGGGGAAGTCGTCTTTGCATTCAGCCCTGCTGTTTCATGGGCTCTTGGCAGGTGGGGGTCTCTGAGCACATCAGAGACATTTGGTCTGTAGGTCAGGCATCAGACCAGCCCTGGGACAGCTCTAACATTTGTGAACGATTCCGTCTGTTCCCACTCCCGCAGGAGGGTGCACACCCCTAGCAGAGCTGGTGGGAAGGGACGTCTGGAGATAGTCTGGTCCAAACCCCTGCTGAGAGCATGCTCAGGGACACATCTAGCTGAGTTGTGAGTATCTCCACAGATAGAGGTGCCACAATCTTTTTGGGCAGCCTGTTCCATCACCCTCAAAGTAAAAAAGTGTTTTCTTCTGTTTAAATGGAATTTCCAGCATTTTGGGTTTATGCCCATTGCCTCTTGTGCCATCCTGGGATGCCAGCTACCATTTACCACTATGGAGTTCTTCTCTGGCTTCTCTGGTACAGGACTCAGGGAGGCTGTGAGGGATGAACACCCGTGTCCCTGTACAACTGGAGCTACCCCGAGACCAGACTGACTCTCCCAGCAGCGTGTGAGCCTTTGTAGACCTGCAAAAGTCCACAGCAGCACCCTTAAACCCTCCAGTTTTCTCCCTCCCGACACAGCAAACAAAGCTGTTCCTCTTCCCCTTTTTAGCATTTTGTATTTTGTGGCCACTCTGGGATGACTTAAAACCTGAGAACATGGAAAGCAGCATGCAAAGGGGAGCTGTGGACCTCTGGTCTGAGCTTGTTAGGAAAATAGCCAATTTGACTAGCATGGAGCGATGAGTCTGACCTGAGCCTCAGCTTGATATTTGTGATGTCAGGCCCGATAAAAGTAAACCAGAGATGAAATTCAAGTGCAATGCTGGTTTCAAAAGAAGCTCCCTGGACATGAAGAGCTCTTAGTGGGAAGGCTGCTGTGTTATTCCCAACTGACGTGGGCCACAGCTGGCTTTGTGACCTCTCTGAGCATTTCCGGGGGAGCTCAGGGATTGAGCCAGAGCTGATTTTGCTATGCAAATAAGAAAATCTCTGCATCCCACAGCTCCTCGGCTAGAAGAAGGGGGAAGCTGCCCATGGGTGGGCCACTGAGTTCCTTCACCTCCCAGTTTTTGCCAAGCATCTCCTCCCTCCCTGACCCCGTGCACACAAACACCCTGGAATGGAGGTGATCCAACTTGAGCAGCTCAAAAATTTATTTGGGGGATTAGTATGAGTTTTCAGTTTGACCCTTCAAATTTGACTCTTCATTTTGGATTTAGTCACAAGGTGATGGCAGGTTTCTTTACCCCTTTCATACCCTCTTCTTTCCTCCTGGAGGCCCTGCTTGCCCTATTTGTCCATGCATGGCCAAGGAGATGATGTTTCTTCTTCACCCTGATCCTCACAGCCCCTCCACCTTGCACCCCTCACTCCCAGGGACAAACTGAGCATCCCTGTGAGCCACAGCCTGAAGGAATATCTGTGTCTGAGCTTGGTTAGTTTGCAGTAGAGAGTTTAATGCATCCAAGTAGCAATGCTGGACAGAAATATCAGGCAAACTGGCACCATGGTTGGCACCATCTACAACAGGGGCTGGAGAAAGGTAGATAAGAAAGTAATTAGCATTAGAGGCTCAGAGATAAGGTTACATTCAAACAGTGTTGAAACTAAGGATAAAAATGCCCAACTTGGTGATGCAAGGATGAGCCTCTAGGTAGATCAATTTGTACTACAATCTAGCGGGGGAGTGTTTAAAACCCAGGTTCAGACCTCTCCAGCAGAGCCAGTGAGTCCTTTCCATGGTCCAGTGTTGGTGCTTACAGCAGCTACACGAACCCCAGCTCAGTCCCGTGGCTCTGAATATGTTAAGCAAAGCCTCCATCTCCTTTTCCTTCTGCAGATCCAACCCAAGACAGGGACACTTATCCAGAGGTATCTTCAATTAAATTTATGCTGCTCCTTGAATTCAGTGTGTTGCCATATTTTGTTTTGAAAAGGCATGGAAGTATTGGTGAGTTGTTATAGG